AAAGAAAGAAAGAAAGAAAGAAAGAAAGAAAGAAAGAAAGAAAAACTCAAGTCACTGTGGTACTTTTTTGGTGCAAGTCATTCATTGATGGTAAACCAACTGGCCTGGCTGATATTTTCATAAAGGAGGTAACTCATGCTATGAGATAAGATTAGGTAACCAGGGTTTCTAATCCTACAAGGAGACTAACAGTAAAACTCCTAGAACCAAGTCCCTCAGTAATGACTCCTTAACACTATCAAAGATATGTAACCACTGTGAAGATAAGGACTCAAGTATTTACTGCATTGCAGAAGCAGTCCCAGCCTTTGTTATTATTCTGTGAGCCACATGGAGACTATAATATACTCCGATTTATACTGCAGACAAAATAGAAGTTAACTTGTTGGACCATTTTAAAACCCAATCCACATGTCCCTGAGGAATTCATTAACTGTTCATGATTAGAGAAGAGACTTCTAGGTATCAAGCCATTCCATCTTCTGTGGGGTCACCTTTAGTCCCATCTTGTGCCTGGTGACTATTTATCACTCAGCTTGGTCTCATCTTAATCAACATCTCCATAAAGCTGGATTAAACAACAATTCTAGACATTACCCAACAGTGCTTTCTCCTAAATTATGATTTTTATACCTAAATTCTACTTTTTTATTTTATTTATGATGATCCCCAAGAGTTCAGATTTTTATACAAATTTAAAAGTTTGCTTTTAACCCCAAGGCCTAAGGCCTTTAACTTTAAGGTTCCTTTTGTCTTGTTTGACTCTCTGGATTTTTATCCCCCTGAATGTCGCCTGAGTAGGAGTAAGAAGCATGCATTCACTGGGGTTGAATGGCTGTGTAGAATGCTGCTCTGGTTAGATGTGTCACACTGTTGGGCAAGTGTCACATGGCTAGATCAAAACTCATCACTGGCCATCTACACTTCTTCAGCAAAGAGAATATTTCTCCGCTAGTAGCTAGTGCTGCCCTTCTGGTCTTCCTTTTAACCATCAAACTACATTACATATTCCATATAACATGTTTCAACCTAATATAGATGTTGCATTAAAGGGAATTCCATAGAATTAAAAGGGGAAAAGTAGACTGAAAACTAAGAATAATATATATATCTGGGAATTTAACTCTTAGAAGCTGCCTGAGCCAATTTTTTAACCTTACTCAAGTCCATGAATAATTTAAAAACATAAAGAGCAGAGAGTGCTTGGCACATAAAAGATACTGGATAAATATTTATCCAGTGATTGCATGAATACTTCTGCACTTAAAAATAAATCTCTATATTTACTAATTAATTTGCATTAGGGTAAGCATCACACATTTTAAGGGCATAGACCCATGTGGCCAATTCAGAAATGTTTTATTCTATACTAATAATTACCACTCCATTGAAATATCAGAATCCTACATGAATGGCTTAAAAGGCCATAAAGTTCTCTTGATTTTCATGTGTAATCTCTATATCTGGACTGAACAATAGAACTTCCTGTAATGTTAGAAATGAACTAGATCTGCACTGTCCACTACAGAGGCCACAAGCCACATGTGGCTACTTAGCATTTGAAATGTAGTTAGTACAACTCACCAATTGAATTTTTAGTTTTATTTAATTTTCATTAAAATCTAAGTAGCCACATGTGACTAGTGGCTACTACATTGGAATGCATGCCTCTATAAAAAGATCAGAAAACAAAATTTGAAATATGGGAGAACACGTTTAAAGGCATTCCTATATGTTTTTACCATTTCTGCTCTCCCATGGGGGTGATTCATTTATCTTGACTTCCCTTAATGTGATCATTTTTTAATTTAATTTTGTAGCTTTAAGGATGGTTAATGCTGTTCCATCAACCAATTCTTTGCTCTGTGGTTCTTAAACTTGGCTGTGCATCAGCATCACCCCCAGAGATGTGTTGCAGCAAGTCTGGGGAGGGGACTGGGCATCTGTGTTTCTGAAGCTCCACAGATGATTCTGATCTGCAGCCAGGCTTGGGAACGACTCCTTTACACCAGAGATCCCAAACCAGCAGCCCTGGGGCCAAATACACCCTCAAAACATATGTTCATCCCACACAGTGTTTTAAAATGTTTTGAATTAGTTGCCAACTTCTACAAATTGTATTTTTTTATCCAAAAAAAAAAAAAAGTGAAGTTGAGTAAAGGCTGCCCCCTTTGGATATAGAACATAATTTCTTTGGTCCAGTACTACTTGTCTGCCTCATACTGGCCCAGCTCCCAAAAGACATTGAGTTTAAGATCCCTTTCTTATCCCCTCTCTATGTAATACTTGCCAAAATAGGCAGAAATCCCTTTATATCGATGCACCATTCCTAGGAGGGAGTACCAACTATTTTATCATGGGGCTGCCTATAATCATCCTGCCAGGCTCTAGAATATTATCCCACCATCTTGGAAAACCTCAAATAAGTATGATAGAATTCTCAAAAGAGAATGGGGCAAATCATTAAATTCAGGGAAAGATGGCCTTACTTTTTACTAGTTTATACCCCAAACTCTCTCACCTAAAGCACCGTAAGGCAAGCCAACAAGACTCTCAGGGAGGGCATCTTTGTTATA